AAATAATATTATTATTTATTATCCAATAATTATCCAATTTCCAATAATTATTCAATTATCCAATACATTATCAAAAAAAATTATAAAATTCCCAAGCCAGTTTGGCATGACACATTTTTAACAATACTGCCAATTTATAATCTTGCGTCTTTCAATATTCTCAACTCTGCATTGAGAAACTATCTAATGCAGGCAGCACTGTGGTAGATCTTGTATCCTTCATAGCCTGAAAACCTGAGATAACTACCTCTTTCTCAAACTGCATCAGTATGTGCTCTGTCAGCAGGCATGCAGAGGGAATGTGTGGGTCTGGTCCAGTGGTTTTTAATGGAGAAGTCTTCTGACCCCATGGGATCCTGACATTCGTGAGTAGGCTCAAGAGCCTATGGAAAATGCAAATTCAAGATGAAGCTCACAGTCAGGGTAGGGGTTTGTGTGTGGAAGCATGCTCAAAGCAAACAAATCTGGTAACTGCTGGTCTTGTAACTGTGCCTGCAGTTCAGGTATGACTTTCATTCTTCTGTCATCCTGACACTACTCTGACATTTAAAGGCTATTTCTCTAAGCTTTGTCCAGAAAAAACAGCCTCTTTCCATGCCAATGCAGCAATATGAGGCCCTGTCCTACATTCTGCCAAGATTGCAGTAAGAGTGTGGAACATCCTTGAGGCAATCTGTAAGGCAATGAAAACAAGGGAGCACTTAGACATTTTAAAAGGTGCTAGCATGAGACAGGTTAGGGGAGCAAAGTTTAAATCACTGATTCTCTCCTTACTAAATTTTCAGTCTAGAAAAATTTCAGACTTCTGAAAATTTAGTCTTTCTGACATTTCACAAAAGAAGTGCATCTGCCAACAGAAATACTTGTAAAATATAAGCATGTCTAATTTGGTGACGCCAAGGATGTTCAGAAAAGAAGAAAAATGAATTATTCCCTATAATTGCTTGATTTCTTGAAGTCATCTCCTGGTGACAGAATTACACTGGTCATTATTTCCATTATCATAAAAAAATGTTTCCCAGGATTGCAGGTTAAACTTCTACAATTCATGTTGAAGGACTAAGGAGAAATCACTCAAGTATGATTTTTTCTGAAGATCTCAAAAATTACTTTTACCTATAAAAAAAATTCCCAATAAATTCCCTGCTAGGAGTTGCCACAGAGGCATGTCCTCTCCCTGGGTATACAGGTATCCCTCTGGGTATACAGAAACAGTGTACTGTACTTTTACATTGATGTGTCATCTTTAAGTCGACTCCTCACAATAATGAATGAGACATCTGCCTGCCATGTATTTCTCCTTCAGTCACTAGACTGTCTCTGTGGACAGGAAGTGTGACTGAACGTGCCCAAGTATTTTTATTTGACATCCTCAGTTAGATGAGCAATGAAAATAAATTGTGTTCCTCCCCACAAAAGACACGACATTTCCAAGATGAACAAAATTACAAACTCATTGTAAATCTGAGCTCAGTCCTCACACACACTTGCCAAAACCAGGAGAGCAGTGTTTGAACGCAGGAAGAAATGTCCCCTGCTGTCTATCTCCACAAAGAGAGCTGTTGATAATGTCCTGTGTTAAGAAAAACCTATCTCAAGTTATAAAGAAGAACTAGCATAAAAAAAACAAAGAAGCAAAAGTGTCACAATCTTTGTGCATGACTTACATTTATCTTGCAAGGAATCATGAGGGACTTCTCCCTGGGGACTTTCTTCCAAGTCTCCGTAGTGCAAGACCTTGTGATTAGGTGAAAGTCGACAATACCAAAATTTGTCTGTTAAAATAAACACATAAAATAAGGTCACTAACATGTCTTCATCAGCACTATCAACAGCATAGGAGAAAGCTTACTCAAGCAAGGTGTTTCAGAAGAAGAAATGGGTGTATGGAAAGTAGGACAGAGACTTTGTTCAGTAATTTTACTTTACTAAATGAAGCTGGCCTTAATTTATGATTCTTTTAGTTGACTTTGACTTTTTTATTGATATTGGCCCTAAAAAAATACTAGCAAGAAAAAATTGACATAGTTTTACATTATATTATATACCCTCATGGACAGAACACTGGCAAAGTAACCACTGCTTTGCGTGGATAACTTTAATGTACCCATAAAATCTTCATTTTTAGCACCCACTAAGTGAAAATTAAGCCCTGCCAGCTGTCTTGTGTGGGACACCCAAAAACTGATACATTTGAAATATCCCATACTTTATGAAAACTATGACTCATGTCTTTTTTTATAGTCATAGGAGAACACCCCCATATTTATGGAGGGACTGGACATACTAAACATGCAAAGATTTAAAAAGCAGCCATTAAGTCCCTTGTCCTGCCGATAACTCAGTGCTTTGCATGGTCACAAATATATGTGTGACCATGGAGTTCACACCTCAGTTTGCATTTTAGTCTTTTCTAGGAAATGTATATTTACATCTCCTGACAACTCCTTCTTCACAGGATATAATTCCCCTTAACAACACATTTGTTAGAATCTGTTCCTGTAAAGAACATCACCTTTGCAGAGCCAGGCCACCACGCTGCCTAGCATGCAAGGGATGGTGCCTGCCAATTTCTTTCTGAAATGGCAAGAAAGAGGTTACACTTCCTTGTCAGTGCACTTTCTATTTAATAAGTAGATCACATAATGTTAAGCTGTCAAAAATACAATCTTGTTACATCCAAGCTATAAACCTCCAAAAGCTCAGAGCATGGCTGGATGTTAAAATGCCAGTGGAGGGGGGCAGAGGGCTTCTCTGGCTCTGTGCTTCTCTTGCTGCTGGCAGTGCTGATGCTGTGCCAAACAGCAGCCTGAGGGACAATTTAGGGGAAACATTAGCACTGACATAGCCCTGTGGCACTGCAATCACTGGGAGTGAATGGAGCCACAGTTTGGATAAAACATTGGAGGAGCTGTAGAACTACCAGAGCCAGCATACCCGAGCTCATTTGGGGTGTTAGCAAAGGGCTTCTTGGCCCTGTTAGTAAAACACTGGCTTCATGAACCCACCTTCTTTCTGAAGGACACCCGAGCTCATTTGTGGTGTTAGCAAAGGGCTTCTTGGCTCTGTTAGTAAAACACTGGTTTCATGAACCCACCTTCTTTCTGAAGGAGGCTCCAGTCCCTTGGTCAGTCATTTAAAATGCAATGCAGCAAAACACAGAGAAAAGCAATTCAGCTTTGAATGCCAAAAGTGGGCTTTCACATGCCCTTTTACATTTCTTTGTCATGGCAGATAAAAATAAAACATAAAAATGTTTAGGGGAAAAATCCCACACACTTCAAATCAATTTCTGAGTGCTCATCACCTTCTACAGAAAGATTTCAAAAGACCTTACAAAAAGGCTCAAAATGAGAATGGGAGAGATTCTGAGAGATTCACAGGCATCCACAACACTGAAAGATTTATGGTAGAGAGCCTGAGATTATGATTCTGTGATGCATACAGAAAGAGCTGTGGAACTATAAACATCCCTGGACTGTAAGTAGTACATACGGCGTGGCACAGAATGGGGTCAAGAAGACCACACTTGAAAAGTTTCTGTAGGGATTTCAAACTAGAGAAATCAGGAGCCCTCATTCAGTAGACTCTCATCTGAAAAGCACACACACGAGCAACTCATTGGACAGTTTGTGCATCTCAACAGGATGTGTGTGAAAATTTTCTAGACTGACACCTTTTACAGGAAACTGTACAGCTTATGGGGATGGTCTCCTATGACTACCACAGCTTAAAAAATATATCCTATTGAATGTGACGGTAGACCATCATGACTAAAGAAAGCCTCTAGTAACTGTAGCACGAGGCTTTCATATCTAGCTTTAACTGCAGCTTCATTGTTTATTAGGCTGTACAAAGGAATATAACTTTCCAACTCTAAAATTAGAACAGCAATTTTTTCCTAATGAAAACCAATGTGGTTTTGCTAGCTTTCCAATGGCTTGGCCAAGAAGATGGTATAACTGAAAAAAAAAATTAGCATGGATTCCTTTCAATTTATCACTCAATGACTTGGCCAAGAAGATGGTATAACTAAAAAAAAATTTAGCATGGATTCCTTTCAATTTATCACAAATGGGGGCAGTGTTTTTAGCAAGGGTTTGTGTTTCGGTGACCTTGATTCTCTTTCAATGCCCTGCTCCAATAATAAAAGAAGGTAAAACACCTCCATGAAAATATCTTCCTTTGTTTTAGGAAGAGATGGTTTTATGGGAAGAAACCTAAGCTCTGAAGGCTTGAAGAGCCTTTCACAGCAATTCCCCATAACCCAAGGTTAATTAAAATCTAATAGCCATAGACTGTAGCTTGAAGCATGTCCCTCACAACTCTCGTGTGGGCTCACTAATAACTGCTGCTGTGCCACAGCCTTGCTGCCAAGGGGAAAGCCCTTAAATGAAACCTACAAATGGAACTAACGAGGTTCCCTCAACCACAGCCACTAAATGACTGCACCAGCCAGGCTGAGGAGGGTTATCAGCACGTTAGTGATGGAAGAACCATTGCTTCTACAACCACCTCAGCCTTACCCATTGGGGTGCTCTTTCCAGCTGTACATGACTCTACGAACAGTGTATCAGGAAACAGTTCACTCACATCAGATCTCAGTACCTTGGAGGGGAACAGTTTTAAACAGGATACATGCTATTTTACCGTAGCGCAGATGTGAACACAATTTTATTGGAAAAGTATAAAAAACTGCTGCAGTCAAAATAAAAATATTACTTTGAGCTCTAAACTGATAAACGAAAACAAATAAAAAACCAAAGCTCTTTACTACCAAGATTTGAAAGCAGTTTTTAGAAAAGAAAGAAAAACTACCATCCAAACCCTCTAGAGCTCTTAAACCCAAGTCTGCAGAGTTGAAGTGTCACAAGAGGCTTTAGAGATGGGACAGGCATTCCTCGATAGACCCTGTACACCAACACTGGCAGATCCATGTCTATGTGCACAGCTGGAGTGGGTCGAGTGTGTGTTCAGTAAGGAGTGGGATTTGTTTTGCTTTTAGGCTCAGGCTAATGAATTTTCCTCAAAGACTTTCTATGAGCTACAACTCCTATATTGTATCCAATGTTATTTACACCTGCCTTTGTAAAACCTTCTCAGAGCAAATAGCTACAGGGAGGGCAGTCACTAACCACAGAGTCTTTAGAGATGACATACACTTGTGATTTCATCACAGTTTTCAGATGCTACATTATTTACACTTCCCAGTGAGTCCTTATGTCCAGTGGTTGCTGACCAGTGACAAAATCAACTTCAGGTGCTAGAAATTCTTCTTCGGGAAACAGAATTAACCATTCTGGTTTTTAACCAGAGAAGATTTAAAATAAATTGTTCTCATTTTTCAGACAATTGCTAGAGCAGCCAGTGGGTTAAATATTTCACAGCACATTGTTGAAGATTATAGATGTGGTTAAAAAAATACCAAATAACAAAATCAGCCACAATTTGGCGACAAGAGTAATATTCAAAACTGTGAACAAATAGTAAAGCACAGAATATTTTGCTGATGGGCTGCAGAATGCTTGTTTCCAGGTTCATTAATGGCCAATGACTCATATGCCTTTAACAATACTATTCCAGGTAAAAAAATGCTGTGGTTAGTACAGAAGTGCTCTATTGTAAGAATCTGGGGAGAAAATAGCTCAGATACCCATGGAAAGAAGTCTGAAAGTATATATTTTTTCCCAAGGTACATTTGAGATTATTAAAGAGCGATTTGCTCAAAGAAAAACTTCCTTATGGATTTAGCAGCAACAGGAACTCACTTTTAAATATATCAGTGAAAGCATATATATTTGTGTAGATTTTAGATGTATGTGGGTTTAGCCTTTTTCTTTCGTGGTGTTGTCTTTCTCTAATAAAACTGTAGTGGCTTTTTCAATCTAACTGGTCTTAACTGCTTAGATTAAAAGATTAGTGGGCTTCCAGGAAGCCCTCCATAATGACTGACAAATGACCTGTGGCAATGTTGGAGGCATATTTGGTGAACTAGTTCCTCTCAACGAGTCAAGCACTCACAAAATACTAGGATTTTATTGTGGGACTATGGAGGGTAGGATGAAGTAGAAGCAGAAAAGAGCTTGGCAGAAAAAAGACAAAGTATATGTTGTTGTTCAGACTTATTTTAGCAAGAGATGGAACACCTGTCTCTACTTGATTTTTTTGTTTTAAGTTTTCTCTTTCCAGGTTGCTTCCATGGTGCCTTGTGTTTTTAATTTAATGGTGTGTATCACCAGAATTTCCTCCCCTTCCAAAAATTACTGTTTAAGAAACCTCATCTTTGGCTGTAAAACCACTCCAATAACATGCAATTTCTCTATAATCTTTGTAAAGCTAAAGGGGAATTTATTTCCAAGAGTGCATCCAGCAACATAAACTACAAATGTACTGGATGACAGCATCAGAAGCATCTATTATCCTCAATAAAATGTCTTTATCTGCTACTTAGCTCTACTGGAAATAATAACTATTGGGGGTGTAGAGTGCTTTGCAGGTTTTTGCTTTAGTCTTCTCCCTTTTCTTTTAGGAATTATCTAAGGAAGGAGAAAGCTGAAGAGGTCTGTCAGCAGATGTTCACAGTCAAGGAACAAAGTGGGGATTTGCAGAGCTTGATGATCTGCTGTTGAAAAATGACCAGAAGGGCAGGCTAGATTTTGCTGTTTCATTTCCAGCTGATTAAGATACCTAATAAAAAGAGGAGTTAGTGCTGCAGTGCTCCTATAAAAAACTTGCTAGGGAAAGGGTATGTATTTTTTTAAAATGATAAGTATCCTGCTGGGACAACAACGATATTTCTGAATTTCAGTTACAGAGATCCTGCTATGATAATCCTGTGCTGAAACACAAAAGGCAGAGATCTGACTACAGATACCTCATGGCTTAATCTTCAGCATCCTCCCAGAGGATCACCTGTTGAATTGGAGGCTTTCCAATTCCAAGTATATATGAAAGTGTTTCAGCTCTTTTCCAAAGGCTGTAAAAGGCTGTAAACTCCCTTCTCATTCTTTTGCAACTTAATTTTTTCAGCTTACTGTGACTAACCGTGTGTGTCCTACCACATGTTCAAACAACAATCTTAACAGAAGTTTGCTCTGGAGTCTTTATCATGGGCTAATGCCTGTTAATTATTTTTCAAATGGGCAATTTAATGCTTTCAGCTTCTGTGCAGGGCATGTTCAGATTCTGGCTGTACAATCTGTAGAATTGTGACATTTGTTCCAGGACTGTCTCAAGGGAAAAAAGGAATCATAGGAAAGGTACAAGAAGCATATACATGCTAAAGTATAACACCTACCCAATCTTACTACTCTAACAGGTAGGTTGCTGCATAACAGGCAAATCGTGATGCCTTAGAGCACTACC